ATGGGATCTCCGAGTGCCTGAACTTCAGTGTGCGCAAGTGACAGTGGTGAAGGCCAAGGGAGGTGATCCTTCCATTTATTCAACACTGGTGAGACCACACTAGGAGACCCAGTGCTGGGTTCCTCACTACAAGAGAGACACGGACATACTGGTGAGAGTCCAGCCAAGGCTGGAGGATGATTAAGTGTCTGGAACACTTCTCCTATGAGGAAAGCCTGAGAGACCTAGGGCTGTTCAGCCTGCAGAAGAGAAGGCTGAAGAGGACCTTATCAATGCATATAAATACTTGAACGGAGAGATGCAAAGAGGATGCAGACAGGCTCTGCACAGCAGTGCCCGGTGGCAGGACTAGAAGCAATGGGCACAAACTGAAACACAGGAGGCTTCCTCTGAATATCAGGAAACACTTTTTTACCTTGAGGGTGACTTGAGTACTGGCACAGGTTGCCCAGAGAGGTTGAGTAGTCTCCATCTTCGGAGATATTCAAAAGCTACCTGGGCACGGTGCTGGGCAGCTGGGTTTAGGTGGCCCTGCTGGAACAGGGGAGCTGGACATGTTGACCTCCAGAGGTCCCTCTCTAACTCAACCATTCCATGATTCTGTGACATGAAGCCTTTGACAGCAGAGCCAGGTCACAGGTTAGCAAAGAAACCAGACTGGCAGCTCTGAGTTCAGAGCAACACACATTTTGCTTCTCCAAATTCCCTGTGTGCATTTTGCACCAATGGCTTCTGCTCATTCCTCCCATCAGCAGGGAAAGAACTCTTTCAGCAGACAGAAAGGAAAAGAAAATAAAGGACACTGCACACATTCCTGAACAATGCCCACCTCTTTATGTCCACTTGGTTACGATTCAGAGCTCCCTCTGGCTCCGAGTGAAGCACATGGGAGCTTTGCCAGAGTGCAATGGGAGTGGATTCAGGCCCTTTACACAGTCTCCCAGTGTTTTCCTCCACCCTGGTGTTATGTAAGAAACTGAGCTAAACTGTAAATATTACACAACCTTGAAAAGAGAAGGGACTAGTAAGATATCTGCGTTACTCCTTCACACTGATACACCCCTTCCTTTCCACTTCTGCTTATAGTCCTTGCTTAGAATATAAAGATATATCTGAACTGGTCACTTACTGTCTTTTAGGCATACTTCAGGTACAGTGAGATGTTTCATCAGCTTAAAAGAGGACATCACATAGAGCCTGAGGTCAGACCTTTTAGTAGGGCCTGCTGCAGTAGGACAAGAGGTAATGGTTTTAAGCTAGAAGAGGGTAGATTCAGACTAGATATAAGGAATTTTTCATGATGAGGCTGGTTAAACACTGACACAGATTTCCCAGAGAGGTTGTAGATGCTCCACCCCTGGAAACATTTAAGGTCAGGATGGAGGGGGCTCTAAGCAACCTGATTTAGTTGAAGATGTCCCTGCTTAGTGCCAGGGGATTGAACTATATGACCTTTAAAGGTCCCTTCCAACCCAAACCATTCTATGATTCTAAGCAGGATGACAGCACCATGAAGCAGGCTGCAGTCTTCCTCCTAGCTCTGATGCAGTCACTGCTGCACTGCACTTCTAGTATGCGAAGCCCCATGTCCCCCTCATGCTGCTCTTGCTGTGCCTCTGAGCCCCACAATCCTACACCTGCCTAGGAAAATAACCCAGGGATTATCATCATCCAGCAAAAGAAGCAGCAGTAGTCTTCCAGCTTGCTTGATAACTACAAGTAGGTCAGATGGGAGCATAAAAAACTACTGAGTTAATGTCTGGCATCATATTAAACGACAAAAAAACCCCCTTTCTAAGCAGGACAACAGCCCAAGCCATATTTTGTGACCTAGAAAGACATGTGGAAATGACTATCCCCTGCTTAGGCTGGGCAAAAAGACTGTCATAAACCCAGCCATTTCAAATCCTCATTATGCTGTAAAACAGCCATTTACCCAATAACTGCATTTCTCCAGCACAGTTGATGTTCTACTGAAATATGTCTGTGGCAATAAAAATGAAGCTCAGTAACTCAGTGGTAACTTCATATCTTGTAATAGATAAAATATGTGTGCGATCTTGAAGGGTACGTTGGTACACTGAAGGGTATCATGTACTTTAAAGTGTACGTACGGCAATGAGGATGAACAGAAATTGCCTAGTCTAGTATTACATACTTAAAATACAATGCATTGTGTGTGAGTGGAAATTGCTAGTTCTAATGCTACGTATTTAATATCTGACCGTAAAAATTCCAGTCAATTAGATTTTATTTATCAACTAGACTTATGTGTTGGTAATATACTGCACATTTTCTGAATGAGTTATTTATATTTACTAAGAACAGTCAAACTCATAACAAGAGATCTATTTTCCATCACTCCTAGATCTCGAAGTTTTCATGCAAAAGTAGGTTTTCATAACTTGCATTATTAAAGTCTTCCATTTTAAACTGGATAAAATCCTCAACTCTTACAAACAATCTGGCTTCAAGAAAACATCTTACTCAACTTTGTCCTATGATCTAACCCAGCAGATCCATATCAGCAGTCTCTTTTCTAATAAAAAACTCTCATTATAACAAATTAGAAGTTTTGCCAGCAAAAAGACAACTATACCAGGCCTAATACTCTTGACATTATTTCTGGAAATTAGAATCACACAATCCACTATTTTAGCAGGGTCCTAATATAGAAAGAGTAGAACTTTATTATTATAGAGTCTCACAGTTTCCAATCTGTGCAATTAGTACTAAGGATCAAATTATTGCTGCTATTTTGATTTCCACTGAGTTGGACAGTCAGAAAATGAGAACATGATGTTTTGAGGTTAATGTTCAAATAAGATCTGTCCACTGGTATAAAACAGGTCTAACTTTATTAACTATAGCTATGGTAGGACCAAAGGAGTTTAAAGAGTAATCTGAGACTTCTGTTAACTTCTTTCTATTTATCTTCTGATCACTAAACTAATTAAAAAATCTAAATAAATATTGACTGTATCATTCTGCACAAAAATTACTGACTGATTCTGCTACTATTCCATCATGCTCCGTCCTGGGTTTATATATGAAACAAAAGCAATGGTATATTGAAAAATGTGGGATCTGAGCATGACGTGAATGGTATGGAATAAGGGGTGGATACTGTCCTGGGTTCAGCTACAGCAGTCATTTTTTCTCCTTCTTAGTAGCTGGTGCAGTGCTGTGTTTTTGACTTTCAGCCTGGGAACAACGCTGATAACACCGAAGGTTTTAGTTGTTGCTCAGTAGTGTTTACTCTGACCAAGGACTTTCTCAGTCTCATGCTCTGCGAGAGAGGAGGGGAAGCCAGGAGGAAGCAGAGGCAGGACACCTGACCCAAACTGGCCAAAGGGGTATTCCATACCACAGCACGTCATGCCCAGGATAGAAACTGGGGGGAGTTACCCGGAAGGCCCAGATCGCTGCTCGGGTCGGGCTGGGTATCGGTCGGCGGGTGGTGAGCAATTGTATCCTCTCCCCTTGTTATTTCCCTTATCATTATTACTGGTAGCAGTAGTGGTTTGTATTATACCTTAGTTACTGGACTGTTCTTATCTCAACCCGTGGGATTTACATTCCTCTGATTCTCCTCCCCATCCCTCCAGGAGCGTGGGGAGGAAGAAGGAGGGGGAATGAGCGAGTGGCTGCGTGGTTCCGAGTTACCAGCTGGGCTTAAACCACGACACTCAATGCACATCATTTTTCAGCATTGCATATCTAGTTATCTTCATGCACTACAAAGAGGAAAGCCTTAAAAATTGCCTGCTATAGTTAACAGATAAATTACACACGCCTCTGATTTACACCAGTACAGTGAATAGCTAGGAAAACTTTGCAAAACTCAGACTGTGCAAGTGCCAGTATTACTTCACCAAGCCATCCACAGGCAGCTTCCCTTAAGTGAGATTCAACACCAGATTTAGAGCATGAAAGTTATTTTGGGTGGAATTTAGTGTGGGTTCCCCTGTGACAGTACTTGCCTCTTGTCTTGGCATATAGATAAATACATTAAAACAAAAAAGCCCAAATTAAAACACTCCAAAAAATCAAAGAACTGGAATAGGACAGGACCTGGTTGTGCCTTATGAATTTCGGGTAACAGTACCTGAGCTGCTCCGTAGCAGTAGGTACAATTCAGTGGGGACAAAGTATCAGTTATCAGTCCAAAGAAAACAATCAAATATAAATATTTATCTCCACTGTCTTCTTGAAGAAGAATATCTGTTTCAGGCAATCCTAAATCCTTTATTCCCTTTGAAAGGAAAAGGCTGCCACTAATATTGAGCCTTGAACTCTGCTTTTTGTGATAACATAACCAGTGCAGTACAGTGATTTTTTGACAACATTTCCCAAGCCTCTGCACTGCTCACTCCTGCAGAACTTCTGGTCTATTTATATGCAATTCCACTTTATTCCAGTCTGTCTCCAAGGGGTCCAATTCCCATTCAAGCCTCAACTGAGCTGAGCGAATAATTCTCATGTTGTATTTCACTGGTATGATCACTCTGAGTCATTGATATATCTCTTAATATAAAAAATAAAGAAAACTATTTAGAAACTTCTTTTTTAAACTTGATGTTTTTCTAGCTTCAGAAAAAGCAGTTGCAGGAATATCTTTTAATTGATTAAGAAAGATGACAGAAAATTCATTAAGATTTGTGCTCATTCTGTGTTAAGGTCAACAAAAATGGCTGAAACATCTTTTATGAAACAACGATCAAAATCACACTGATTTGGTGTATTTATCTATTATTGTTTTTCACGTATGGAAGACTCCGGAAGAAGTTCCCATTATTGTTTTCTTAACAGTGGAGAAAATTAAATATGTATTGAGCACTGTCATACATAACAATCATGCCATTTCATATTCATTGGTACCCTCATAAATGAAACATAAGCTTTTCTGGAAGAAATTTTCACCTTGAAGGAAATAAAGGCCATTTGCTTACCAAATATAAATGAAAGGGAAAGTATAGAAAAAACTTAGTATTTCTTACCATTGTAAGGGTGAATGGATGGCTTTCCAGTGCAGACACTCTCGGACAGTGTAGAATAACATACTGAAACAAAATCAGCCAGAGAAAATAAAATGATAGAAAAGATATGTTCAAAACATTCAGTCAAGGGTTAGTATATACAAAAGTCATCCCTATAGACCATGCTATGTGAATAGCAGTGATTTTTTAGGGGCTCACAAACTCACCTGACCAGGTCTTGCTTTAAAGTCATCCTTTATCATCCTTACTTCAAGGACGTTGGAGGGGTGACTTATCACCGAAGTTATTGTGACTGGTTTATTGCTGCGGATGTAGCGGTACAGCCTTTCCACACAGTACAAGCACAGAGGTCCAGAAATCCAAAACCAGGTCTATGGGAGAACAAAGATACGCTAACTCAAGGACTTTTCATTTTGTGTTTTCTAATTTCAAAACTACATGAGTGCTTGCAGGACCTCATTCCATATCCATTGGGAACAGTGTTTTGGTCACAAGTAACCTCCAAAGCTCTCCACATGCAGAAATCCAAGCACGTTGTGGAGGCTTAATCATTCTAATCGGCAGCATCATCCACAAGCACAAACAATTTCAATCATAAAACTCATCAGAAACAAAATGCTAATAACCTCATTTGCAATCATGTTACTCTGGTTTTATGTAGTTGGATTGTGACTGGTTTCAGCAGTGAATGACACAGTACATACATTGCTTCAAAATCTAACAAACCAAAGTACTACAAAACTGCTTAACCTTTATGAAAAAACACTGTCTGACTTGCAGTATTATTTGACTATTACCTTCCTTTAACCATCTCAGGAACAAAAAAAAGTAAAACCTAAGAGATAAGCATTCTTGTGCTATAGAATTTATGCTTACATTAAACTAGTGTAAAATCATAGACAAGGGAGAGAAATGGGCACTTCCGAACCACAATTCATTTGTCCCTGTGGAAGACGTGTATGGTAGACAAATAATGCCCTGGAAATGCCCATTTCTCTGTACTGATTATAAAGGGAGCCCTGGGTGACTATCTCAGATGGAGACATTTGCAACTGCTCAGCTAAATCCTATCCTACTAGTCAATTTCTAAGAGCTTATGGCAGAGCTAACCACTAATTCCACATCTGCTCAGTCATTCAAGCCATGGCACTGAATTGCTCTCAACCCCCATCCATCTACCCTTCCCAACTTTTGAAGTTATATGTCAGCATCTCTTGGAACTAGTAGAGCATTTGATTTCCTCAAGCATCTCTGGCCTTAAAACCTTCAGTAGCTCAGAGGACGTGGCATTACTACGTGCATAAACCATTCCAAATCAAAAAAAGTCCTAAATCATGTCACAAGCTGCCAGAAAAACACTGAGTGGCCATTTGTTTCCATGGCTCTTCTTTTCCTATAAAGGGCTCTAAAGAAGACATCTTAAGCCCCTAAGAAGACTGTCTGATGTCCCAGGGGTCATATGGAGCCACATATACATCAATGCTTGTAATTCAGGAGAGTTATGACAACAAAACACAAACCCAAAGAACTTTGTTGGAGGACTTCAATGTAGAATTCACTGTTTCTTACTATGACTACATGCTCCTTAGTAAAATGGGTTCCCACTGCACGTAGTATGGGACACGTGTTCTACAGAAAACAATGATAGTAATAAAGTAAAACTCCTGTGAGGTCTATTATGGGACCACCTTGAACAGTGAGTCTTGGACTCCATATCCTGAACTTCCTCAGGCTACTTGCCAATACAGCCCAGCTCATCTTTTCTCAAAAGAAAAGAGAAAATTTGGATGAATATAAAGCTGCTGCCACAAAGCATAAAGAATCAAAAGGAAAATGGAAAACAGAAAAAGAAAAGGCTTTTCTATCCCCACTGTCATCATACTCATTTACCCATGCCACACATAAAACAAGCCTGTCTGCAAACAACAGGCTATACAAAGCCAAACCACAACCAACTGCAACCCAGAAATTAATATTAGGGCTTGCATCCGCATGGTAAAAAGAGAACAAATGGAGTTTGATTATTTCAATTAACTACTGCGACACAATGCTTACAAAGGGACCTCATGAATATGTTATATAAATGTTTCCTCTGAAGTGCTATGCTGTAATTTAAAGTCACATTTATAGCAAGACCAATACATCTCTTATTGTGTCGTACAAAAAAGAACATTACAGCCAATCTCTTGACATTTTTCCGCCCTCTTCTATGCACCACATTGTAATGCAGTTCAAGGTTTAATACAGATTGTTTTTTTCCCCACAAAATCTTTGAATGCCTTGAAAGGTTTTTAATAATATTTTCCATTATTAAAACATCTGGTCTGGAAAAGCAATAATTAGTGGTTATGGCTGACTGAAAGACTTGGCATGGCTTGTAATACCTGAAACGTCGGATCATACAGACCTCTGGGAAGTGTGACTGGAACTTGGGTTCCTCGGAACAAATTCTCACAAAGCTATTTTGTAGAAAGGGTTCTGGTACTAAGTCATCCGGGAAAGGTTCAGTAGTATAGTCAGGGAACAGGTCTTCAAAAGCCTTTGGCACCGTCATGTTCTGTCGGAGTGTTTTGTTAGGATTAAAGCAACCGGGAGGGTGTTCCTCTAAGTTGGTCTGGTACTTGAGCACTCCCCTACAGGAAAACAAAACCAGCAAAGACACTGAATTAACAGTCAAAACCAAGTATACTATATAAATTGAGAGAGGGGTTTAGAAAGCAGTCACAAGGCTCATCTTCTGTAAGAACTCTTATTCCATTTGCTTTCAGGACTTTCAATGAGGCTGAAGCTTCGCAACAATAGAGCCCTCTGTCACTAAAGGCAAGGTTTAACTTTTCCAGCTCACTTGGCACTCTCCCACTGAACAGCCTCAAGCTTAATACTGCTTGAAAGAGGGAAGATATTGTGGGAGCCTTGAAAAAAATTAAATAATCACATTTCCAGTTCCATCACACCCAAGCTGTTTTCACTCATACTCCCTTCAGTCAGCAAGCCCTGTTTTTTAAGGCAATCTGGAGCAGAAGTGGCCTAAATCGCCAGATCATAACTGCAGGAATGTCCCCATTACTTGGGTTTTATCAGTTTTGCACATACTGGTATAATTTGCTCCTTTGAATATCATATTGTCAAATAGAAACAAAAAGGAAAGCCCTGCATGATAGCCAAGGAATCTTTCTTGCAAATTATTTAGCAGGCTCCATGCTTGTTTTTTAAGCTAAAGTTAAATTTATAGTAAAATGAAGTGAGAACTTTTCAGCTGCAAATAGAAGCTATGAAGAAAGAAGTGGAAACCTGAGACGCTCTGGGTTATCTCAACATGGACGTGGGGAAGCACCAATAATACTAGTAATACAATTCCTGGGAAGTACTACTTGCCTCCAAACCTGGATCTGATGACAGTTAAACTGCAAGGAGGAATGTTTAAAATAACAAAAGGTTAAATGACAACTGTATAGGATGGTTCTGGGTGGGAAATAAAGCACACTGACACAATGTCTAGTGAGATGTGCCCTCTGAGTGCTAGGCCATGCAGTGAAGGCTCATCTCAAGGATATAATCAAACTTAAGGACATGTGTTCCTCCCTCCTCTCCCCAACATACACACACACCGCAGCAGTGAGAGAGTTTAATTCACAAGAAGAGAGACAAGTAGGGCATCTGCAATATTCCCAACTTAAATACACTCCAACAGGCTACTGGCAATCTTACCTATTGAAATGTAATTCTGACAGGTAGTAACAAGCTTCCCGCATGGTCCAATGAATAATATACAGCTTGGAAGCTAAACCTGCTCACTCTAAACTCCATGTCCAACCCTGGGAGAATCACTTGGGAAATGTCCATGTGCCTACAACCATGCTTCTGTTTGTATTTATAGCCCAATCATGCCTATCACTTGCACCTGGTATCATTGTTAGTCATTGCATATTTGCAAAGTGACAGATATCCCTTGCATTATGCTAGTTCCTTGCTCCTTATGGCGCCTCATGGATTTAGCTGGAAGTCACAGCACATGCAATATTCTTCCATCATGCCTGACAGCTGCTCCCACAGCATCTCTGTACCCAGGACAACCCCAAAGAGGATTCAAAGATTTCCCTGAGACATGAATAGCTGAACTGCAAACTTGAGCATCCCCCTCCTGTGATCTCTAAGTTTGTTTAAAACTATTACAAACATGCTAACTGAGCAGCAAACTGGGATGACAAAGCTGTCTGTTAACAGCAGCTGCAATGACTCCCATTTCTGAAGCTGTCAAGGAACAGCAAGTTGTCTTACACACTCAAGAGCAGTTACCAGAACAGATGAGTTCTGCAAAACTCTTAAGGAGATTAAGATATGCCCTCATATACTTTTTTGGTGCAATACTTGAATACATAAAAGCTCAGGGTGGATGTCAGTAAATAGAAGACAGACATCTCTTAACCAAACAAAACTGAGAGAGACAAAAAAGGTAAGTAATGTGAAAGTGTCCTACAGGCTGAACAACACAGCATGCAGGATTTACATGGGCACACATCAACCTTTGCCCCAGTTTTTTCCATCCCCAAAATAGAGATAAAATTCACTTCTGGCTAAATCTGGAAAACATATATTATTATTTCTTGAGATTTTTATGATGATAAACTAGAGAACAATGGTTTTAAGTGGTTTTAAAGGGAATAGCACTGTTCCTATTTTCTCATCCCCTTCCGCTGCTCAGCTCAAGGTGAGTTGCTTGAGGGGGTCTGCTGAAAGTAAATGTGTAGATGGAATCTTAAGACTTTTCACCCTTTCGAAGTTAAATCCTTGGACAACTTCAGTGACAACTTTAGTGGCAGCATAAAAGCCTTATACTCAGCTCCTATGAACTAGCATAACCCACTTAACTCCACAGTAACACCAAATTTCGATGAGCTGAGTATCTGGCTCCAAAAGGTTTATAAGTTTTACAGCTCCTTACATTTGGTGTAGAAACATCAAATTTCTATTTTACATAAACTATTTTCTGTTGTTGCTATTAGTGCCTTAAAATACAGCTAAATCAATGTAGATACACACCAAGCCTTAAGCCACTATAACATTTGGAAGTCATGTTGAAGAAGTACAACAGCAAGGGAAGTCTTTGGATAACTGCCTGAAAGAGTCTCCTTTCCCTTTTGTCAGGGATGGAGGAATAAACCAGTAACATATGACAGATGACTTATATCACTTTATATACTGCTGAGCAGTGCTTGGCTACCCTGAAGAAGAGGATACAAGAACATACTCATAATAATTAGAAACAAAGCAAGAATTCAGGAATACTGTGGAAATACTCAAAAGGAGAGTCTCCAAAGACAGGTAGATCCTCACCCAACCAGCCGCAGGAGTTGCCTTGCTCTGTAGAGTAACTGGCCATACATCTGCAAGTCTCTAAGAGATGCCATGAAGGAGTCATTTGGGCACCTAGGTGTGGGTATCTAAGCTTCCTTTGTTCTCAGAAGAATAAGAATCATCTTCTAATCAGTATCACGAATGGAGCCCAGAAATCAATCCAGCTCACTTGAGTGTAGATCTTTATAGCAGCAGGTTAGTTGACACATCCTTCTGGCTCCATTGACTGTATTTATTAGAACTCATTAGACTATAATGGGAGAAAGACCTGAGAAAACATGTAGAGACCTACATTTCAGCATCTTAAACTTGAACTGACTCCCACTCTTCATGACTCATTCTGCTCCCACTTTTAATTGACAGTTCTTTCAGATTTGCACTGAACAACTTCCCAGTTCAATACTAAGGAGGCTGTGTAGAAGATACTTGTTTAACGCTTGGTACATTACCGCAGCCTTGGTTTGCAAACTTCTCCAATTAGACTTCTTCCTTCATGAAGTGGCAACATGAAGTGGTTAGGAATACAGCGGGCAAAGGATAATATATAAGGAGACGAATAAGACTGTACATGAAAAGTACTCTGAAGGCAATCACTGGAACAGACTGCCTAGGGAGGTTAGAGGATCTCAGCCACCAGAAGTTAGACAAACACCTGTCAAGAATAATTTAACAATAGTTCATCCTTCTCCAGGATGGGGAGAACACATTAGATCCATCTTCTCCAGATACGAACAAGAGCTCAGCCACAGCAAAATAAGTAAATAAATAAACCCAGAGAGAACTGGAATTGTGTCCAGGAGTTCCAATTGTTTTGAACTTATTCTTCCAATTCATCAGATCTCAAGCTGTGTGTTTAGTTCAACAACATACTCCTATTGTGATCCTGCCAAGCCTAATTACCTTTCACTGTTTATTTTAAGCAGCGGTGCTCAGTGTCACACAGTCGTTCCAGCACCTTGTGTTTCAGTAGATGTTTGATTACATGGAGAAATGAACCTTGTTCAAATGCACCTTCCTTTCCCTATACCAATCTTTGCACCTGCTTCTACAAAGGAAATTTCTGAGATGATAAGGGACCAGATTTTCACAGAGCATAGCTTGTGGAAGCTGCTTTACCTTGCGATAGAGCTAGGTTTTGTTTGTGCCTGATACAGACCTGACCATCAGCTTCATGGCACTGGTCTGATGTTTATTAAAACAAGAAGAAAAACTAGTACATTTTGTATCATAGCAATGAGAACGAGATAATTAAGGAGAGGCTGCTCCTTCTTCAGGAATCAAAATGGAAGTTAGAGAGGAAAGAGCAAGGGATGAGCAACTTTGTTTTACGTTCTCTCAGCAGTCATGTAAGAAGGAGCTGAAAAGAAACAATAACGTTTTCTTGATTTCCCACTAGAAACTGGTAAAATGGACAAGGAACAAACTTGTAAGTGAAGAAGTTTGTGCTAGCTGGCTCTAGTAACACACAATTGTCAAAGCTATTTTGTGAAGTTTATTTAAACAAACACCTGCTGAAAAACTGAAGGGGATAGCACCTTGTCAAGAAGTTGGCCCACTGTGTACAAGCAAGCTCAGGAAAGGCAGCAATCAAGGGAACCACTCTTTCTGGTTGTGCTTCAGAAAAGGGGATGGTGTTTTCTATTTACTTACCCAGAAACATGTAGCAGCAGCAGCATATAGAAGACAAAGAAAAGGTTGTGTGTATACCAGAAGATGTCATAGTTTGAAACCCTGAAAAGAATAAACCATGGTTCAATGCTGTTTCACTCAGATGGAATCAGTGCTGATTAAAGTGGATCTGTGCACACAGGACATCATTATACACCACACAGTAATGTAGACTACTCAAAGCCCAGTATGCGTTCCTACAGGCACACTGTACTTGCAAATAATTAAGTATTGAGAAGAACAGGTGACTGGCACAGAGGCAAAAAGCTGAGAAAGAGAGATGAAGAACACATAAGTACAGAGCTGAAGAATTTTTCTAAATTAGGAGACTTCACTGCTTTCGTAGGTCCCACTTATCCTTTATCAGATCCTTAGAGCTGTAACAGTTCTTCAGCCTCCAGACTCAAAACTCAACCTCTTTAAAATGAGTGCCTTCTTGCATCCTCCCTGCCCTGATATAGGACTGTGGTGTTTAATGTCTCACTACAAGTACAGCGTACAAACAAGTAGCATATCCAACAGCAGAAGGGCAGATGGGAAAGGTAAAAGAAACTCGTGAGGGTATAAAGTGGAAGGAGAGACAGGAGGAAGGGAACTAAAGCAAGGAGGCAACAAGAGGGCAGGTAATCTTTGGAGGAACAAGAGGAACATTACCACTGTGAAGATCAGGAGAGGTGAAGGGGACAGATGACTTCCTTTCATCAGTAATTTGTTAAGTAACGCAAAAAGAACCAAGACCAAAGAAAATATCCATCTGGAATTGTTTTCTATTAAGCTTGTTTGTTTTTTCTTGAGTAAAGTAGTCACCAGAAAATGACAACAACCAAATGGTTAAGAAAATACTCTACTTCATAGCACACAAGTGCACCTTGTACATTACACAGCATGGTAGGAAAGTTCCTTCCAAAACCAAAAATCCTACCCCGTGCATAAGCCAGAATAACTGTCAAATAACAAACAACCTAAACTGTGAGAACATAGTTTAAGAAGCTACTCCTCTAACATGACTAACTTTTCTCAGAACCTTTTCTCCTCCTACAGCCTTTTACATAAACAGCTACCTTTGCTTCAACACATCTGAAATGCACACTGCATTTGTTTCTGTCAACACAGGACTCACTTCCTCAAGGCAGAAAAACTAATTTTGATAATATGAGGGCCACCAAAGTAAAATCTAAGCAAGGACAGTTCTAAGGAACCCAGCAACGGGGCTATGAAACCCACCCTTCACCTGGCCATCCTTCTCCTATTCAGCATCACACTAACCTTTTTTCCTCCTTGAGGCTGCTCAAACCATTTCTAACTACCCACCCTCAAGCATTTCCATGCAGCCACTCATCAGTATCAGCAAGGAGCTGTGAGAAAGATCCAACAATACTTACTTATCCCTTTTAAAACACTAGCAGCTAGTTCAATCCTCCTGATACTTATTCACACAGTTTACTGAACAAGTAAAAGCACAAAAATAGCAGGATAATCATGCATACGAAAACTCCAGGAAGAACATACGAAGGAAGCAATGATTAAGTAGATCAGTGTGCAGGAGCGGATTAGGGCTGAAATCCAAGAGAGTATAATAGTCTTCAAACAGTCTATTTTTAAAAAGCCCACTTTCTGATAGGCAGTGAACACTCTCCTAAGACTACAGCATTAGCTTAGCCATCATAAGGCACATGAGAATCCACAGGGAACGAGATTGGAAAGGGACAGAAAGATGTGCACAGAAGCTTGTTTTCTTAGGAAGGCACACTATAAAGAAAAGCTTGAGCCAGAGGCCTGAGAGAGAAGCCAGGATAAAACTTCTAAATAAGAATTAGTGCTGGAGTAACAGGAGATGCAGATGATCTCTTAAGGGCTTTGATTCTGCTGGCTAAATGGCACAAAGACAGGAAAGCACTTGCACATATAGTAATCAAAAAAGGTAGTAACAGGCACGTAACTTAAAAAGATGGAAACCTTTGTTGCGAGAACCCATAAATTATTATTTCCAATAATATGTTTGCAACTAGATGTATTTTCCCAAGTTTCCCAATCATTAATAAATGTTGTTCTTTTCTTCTAATTTAACACGGCCTTGGAGAAAACGGCTTTATTCTGGCTCACTGCTGCAGAGTGAAGTAATTGTTTTATTTTTCCACCTTCCCAAAACTGGCTTTCTTTTGCAAGCAGAGCCATCTGTGTGGACTATGTAATGTGCAGCCATGCCTGACATACAGCACAGCAGTCTCATTCTGCACTTCTGTAGCCTCACGAAAGTCTCAACCCTGGAAGTATCTTTGCCTACAGAAAGAGCACAAGTATTTGCTGATCTGCTTTCCTGAATCGGCACCTGATAACATTGCTGCTCTGGAAAGATAGATATAGTTCAACGAAGTTCAAAACCACACATCAAGCTCACATCAGTCAAGCACCATTAATGTTTGAAGATACAGAATTAAAATACCCTTCAGTGTTTGCTGAACTGAGATGAGGTATTTACATAATCAGTCTCTGAATTCACCAGAGACTGCTATAAAAATCAAGGGGCATTTTATATGCTTTAATTGCAGAATCCAAGCTTTATAAGGCTACTGCATTGGGTGAGGTCCTCCAAGGTACCAGTCACTCAAATGTACTATAATAGGTGTTCAATAATGTTGGTGCAGAACCAGAACCCATTGGAGAGACAAACATTCAGAAATCCCAGCAGATACTCCTAGTGAACACTGCATTGTTGTTTTGTATTATAATCAACATTAAAAAGAACGTATCTGACAACCAGAAGCAGAGCTTTAAAAAACCAACATTCTACTTAAGTAGCACAATTCTATTTTGGTTTTCTTCATTGCAGCTTCTTTTTCTTGCTGGATTTTTTACAGTTTGGTGAAAATAATTAATCAAGTTATCAACTTATTTTACTTCCAGTGTATTTAATTTATGCATTGGACAGAACTTCCCATATGCTTAGTTTACTGCCTTCCCTGTGCAAACAGGAAAAAAGAACTATTTGAATTTTTAAAGGTCTGGATTTTTAACTGCACACATTCCTTAAACAGTATTTTTGTGTGAAGGCAATTTAATCAGGGTTTGTGATTTTTTTGAATACAGAATTCACTGTGATAATTTACCCACAAGCTAGTAAAAAATAAAATAGAGCAAGAAAACTGGTACTTTTAACACTCATTTAAATGCTTCTTGCCTCATATTGCATTTACTCTTCATTCCCTCTGATCAGTATGAAAATATGATTATTCAAATGGAATTTTTCAGCATAATAATCAGATTATTTCTTACCTGATGGCATACGTAGAAGCTGTACACATTAGGAACAATACTAACACCATAATGACTCCAGTCAGACCTGGAACTAAAATGGACATAGATAACTTGCATTTGAACTGTGCAGAGGTATGCTTGTTCCTATGACCTTTTAAGAAAGTGGAAATATCAGACATACAAATCATGATTCAATCAAACTCTTGCATCCACTTATCTACTGAAGACAATTCATGTATCAAACTAGATAGGGAGGAAGAGCTGTTGTGTAATTTCCCAGCATCCCAAAGAAAACTGCCCTTTTCCTTGCATTCCACCACGCATCACTAACTTCCTATTAGGTTTTGCTCCTGTACTCTTTTGCTCACATTTGCCCCTAAGTAGGTAGCCAAGAACAAATCTTGTCTATTTATTTCTAAGACTGACTGGACAAGTTTCTACATGTCTTTTTTACTCCAACCCCTAAATTCTGTTTATCATCACAATTAAAAGCCTCGTCAGGGACAGAATTTCAAGCAAATCAATTTCTATGCAAGCTGTCGCTACAATTGTTTGCCAACCCATTTCATCCTGGAATGAGAAGGGGCCTGAAATTACTCTCCATGGCACTGTATCATGGCTTGAAATTGCTGCCCATAGAGCAAGATCTGTGAGAGTGATCCACAGCCAGCATTTGAAAAGGAAAGGTTAAAAATATTAAGGATTGGAGTCATCTGCTCAGTGGCAGAGTTGTAATAGAACTAGTCAAGCCCCAGCTCTTTTTTCAGTCAAAGAAGATAAACAAGTATTTCTGCAGCATGATTCACCTCATCCTGAAGTAGAATCCTGCCCATAAAGTACATTAAACCATCAGCCTAAAATTGCCGAAGTTACCACTTTTTCTGAGCACCTTATCTTCAAAATTGCCATTCCAGGAACTAAGAATCTGAATTACGAAGCTAAAATCCACGACACAGTGCATCAAAACCTCTTACTTCTCAAAGAATCATAGCTTTTCAGCATAGTCTCTGGTCACCCTAAAAGCCACATGCTTGGGTTTAAACAAAGTCAGTCAGGCTAAAAACTGAACCTAAGTAAGTGCGGATTTGGTGTCAGAATATAAACATCTAAACCAGCTTTCATGGTTTCATTCACAAATTTTAATGGTCTGGGATCTTTTACAGGATCCCATCATAATAAAAATGAGCAATTATTTTAAATAATTGATTGTAATTCTAGACTTTTTAGCAGTTTCAAATCTTAGTTTTTTACAAACTTCTCAATATGCACCTGTTGAAAAGTCTGATATCCCAATTCTGATACAATCCAAAACACTCCTTAGTTTTACAAACTGTAGGAAAAATCCTGGTCCTACAATCAACGGAAGTTTTGTCATGGACTGCATAAGAAACAATTTCACTCCTTCCTGGAAAGGTTACAATTAAAAGTGCTTGCAATAAAAAAAGTGCACTTTTTCAATTGCCTCCTTCTTCATTTCTTCTTTCTTAATCTGATTTGATGTATAATGTGCAAACAATCTCCCCTTTGACACAGATACTTCCAATCCTATTGCAGTATAGCACTTGATCGAGCTTCCTATACTGTCACTCAAGCCAAGGTGCCCGAGATCACCATTTATGTTCAGGTCTTCCAGTTCTCTTCTCCATCAAACTGCAAACATGGAATCACTCACAACTTTGCTCCAATTCATCAGTGCATGTTTAGTGCTTCCTCTCCTCCACGTCTCTCTTTTCCTCCAGTAACTGTAATCTTGAATGTATGACTTTTTAGATATATGTATATTATATATAAAACATATATATAATTATACATATATGTATGATATATATTATTTATATTTATAACATATATATATAAAAT